ATAGTTTGTTTTATTTCCAATCACTACATATCTAGTGATCCATGTTCATGTGCTCCAGGCTAAATGGGGAATGAAAAGAGCAGTGTTCTCCTGGTTGTTATCACTGTTAGAAAATCTGTTCTTTTTTCTTTGTTTTTTCTTAAAACTTAAGTATGTAACCTATTATTTTTCGGTACATATATGTACTATTACAGTATGTGGTTGATATATAAGATTGCTAATAAACTAACCTTCAGGCGGTTCTTGTAATGGTGGATTTAAACAATACATATGATAGCCTCTATCACAATCATCACAAAATAATAACTGATCCTGTATAATAATTCATTTCAGATAATCAATATATAAACTAAACAATAACAAGACATATTCTAAGAGAGAAAAAAGTAATGGTTATTTGCAGAGCACCAACCAATGATGAGATAACACATAAGATTGTGAACATTTAACTACAAATGTTGATATCACAATAATAAGTTCAGTCGCCACCAGAGGTTTCTAAAATCTTATATTATAGTTGATACCACTTTTTATTATGAAATTCTTCCTCATTTATAATAGATATACTTCCTCATTTATGATAGAAATTCTTCTTCATTTATAATAGATATACTTCCTCATTTATGATAGAAATTCTTCTTCATTTATGATAGATATACTTCCTCATTTATGATAGAAATTCTCCTTCATTTATGATAGATATACTTCCTCATATAAAGAGTTCGTTAGCTGCTATCTATATATTGAAACATGCTGAAATAAGAGTACAAAGAAATAAGAAGGTTATATTATTATCAATATATTTTTACCACTTACATCATTATCTGAAGTACCACACAATCCGCATGATTTACATTCTATACACTGCCATGGATATTTCTTTACTGATACTATCATATTATCAGTAAACTGTAAACAAGATGGATGACCTGAAAATTAAATCAAAAACAGTATAGAGTACAATTGATTAAATAACAACAAATCTGTAAGATTAGAAAAATTCTAACAAAGACTTGAAGGAAACCTGTTTCACTTTTAATGTATTAGCAGTCTGGTATTTCGGTATTCCTGAGGCCTTTTTAAAACCTTTCAACACCAAATTTGATTTGCTCATATCCTCAGAGATTCTAATATATTTCTGTATATTGTGTAAATTGAGCTGGCTTGATTTGAAGGGATCAATTCTCATAGTTCAGTTAATAAGCTTACCAGATCTACCACAATCACTACATGAAACTAAATCTTCAGCTTGATTTGTCT